CTTGTTTCCATCTGGCCATTTTGAGTGTTTAATAGACCGCACAATTGCGATGCTCCAGAAACTCAATCTGCTCAAAGGAAGGTCAGTTTTGTAGCTTCTGTAACGAGCTAAACTGTTTTCAGATGTGTGAACATGATTGCACAAGGGTTTTCTAATCATCAATTAGCCTTCTGAGCCAATGAGCAAACACATTGTACCATTAGAACACTGTATTGTTTCTATAAAGAGCCTTGAGATGACGTGTTGTGAATTGGCGCTAAATAAATCAAATTTAATTTATCTGCTGATCTGAGAGGTAAGGAACTCCAAAGTTTTGGGGACAGAGAAGAAAAATGTCCGTCTCCTTTAGTTTTTAGTTGATCACAAGGGATAATCAGCAGGTTTTGATCCTTAGACCTTAAGTTCTTGATGGGGATGTTGGGATGTAAAAGTTTGTCCGTCCGTGCAATGCTCACCAATTCAAACAAAACTAGTTTAGAGGTATTTGTAAAGGAAGTTGAATAGAAAAACACCCTCTATACTGTTTAGCTGTGCAGGTTTTTGTGTTGGTTCGTCAAATAAATTCCTAATAAAATAATGAAAAGCTTTATGTGAAAGGAAACATTTTTAGTCCATTTTAGGAGGAAGAATAAAGCTGTCGCTGTGATAAAATAGCTGTGTTGACATTGTTGGTATGTTAGAAATGTCACTGTTAGGTGATGAGCTTTAATCAGAAAATGCACCCTGCATTCCTCTGTCCTCCGAGTAAAGACAACTGTTTAAACAGCGTCCAAGAAGCCCTCAGAGCCCAGACTGTAATCTATCTCAATCGCGTCAGCCGCCAAGGACACAACGCTGCAGCCGTAACTCACCCTGTGGGTGCTCTGATAGGGATGTGCATCATTCTGGGCCAGCCACCAAAGGATGGCGGTCTGGCAGCTAGCGTGTCTGAAGATGCACCCAAGTCAAATAAGAATGTCTAAAAAAGCAAAAGAGACATCAATCTTATGAGGTAAACTGCAGCCATGTGGTTTTCTTAAGCGTATATAAAGTGTCTGGCATGACAAGTTTAGGCATAAATACACCTTGAAGCTTTTGGCACTAATCTATGAAGTAGGAGGCTCAGGGAATCCATTCAAGATGCAGAGGAAAGGTTTGCTCTGTGATGGAAACAGTTACGGCACACAGAAAAATTGGTCCAGTCTGGTTCACATGGAGACCATCAGTGTTCGTTAACCTGGACGTTCTTATATGTATTAGGAATATATATATATTTTTTAATTTTAATACATATTTAGATTTATTTCAATTACACATAATGATAAAAAAATCAGGACCAAAATAGAACAATAATACAAAAAGGACTTCCTTGTCTT